GGGACCCGCGGTGTGCGGGGGGACTAGCAGGAGAGCCCGGGGCGGGGGCCCTGGGGGCGGGGAGAGCGGGGTGGGGGTCCGGGGGCGAGGGGGCGGGGGGTGGGGGCGGGGTGGAGAGCGCGGCTGGGGCAGGACGCGGGGAGCTGGGGGGACCGGCAGCGCGGGGGAGGGACGGGGGCGGGAGGGGAGGGGGCGGACGCGTGAGGTTGGAAAGTGCTGGTCGAGGGGCTTCAAAGCCCGGAAGGCGTTTCCGTCCAGCGGCGTTGGTACCACTGGCCGGCCATTTGGAAAAATAGGAATTGGCTTTCTCTGTCACTCCTTAACGCCAAAATGAAATCCAGATGCATAAAACATCCAAATCTAAAAAGCAAACAAAAAAGGTCCTGGAAAGTCGACGAATGTCTATCACGATAAACCCGGAGAAGGGGAAGAAAAAGAATAGTAAACTTGATCCATATTCAAATTGAAAACGTGGCAAGAATTAAAATTAAAAGGCAGACCAGAGGAGAAAGTGTGTCTGATGTATTTTGAAATTGTCTAATTCCTGTAATTGTGAATTACCACAGATAAATAAGAAAAAGTCAACGATCTAATGAAAAATTGTCAAGAACACCGGTAGGAATTTCTCAGAAGAATCCTACTGTAAACTTGAACCAGATTGCCCGACCTGCGCACTTGTCAGGTGTGAGGGAGTCAGCAATCTGTAGGAAGGAGTTTTTGGAAGCCGATTTGGTAACCATATCCAACAAAATGAAAACAAAAATCACACCCAGCCATTCCTTCTCCAACACGGGATTGTTTTGGTTGTCTAGATCAGTTTGGGAAAGTGGACATCTTGGCAGTATGGAGTGTTCCTCTCATTTTCAGGCACTACATGTTGGATTCCTTCTGCTGCAGCTGGTTTAGCCCATGGTCAGATGAACAGGTGCGACAGGCCAGGTGTAACCCTGTTCCCACACCTGTCCTTGATCTTCTCTTCCAGGAGGCCTCCTGTCACAGCTGGTGGGTGCAGGGCTGAGGGAGGGAGGTGCCTCAGCCAGGCCTCGTTTGCTTCTCTTTTAATGCCCTCTGTCTCTGGCCAGGGCAGCTGGGTACTCTCCCAGAGGCAGAGGCAACTTCTAATGACCCATCACATCCGCATGCTTCAAACGCTGGGCGGCTTGCAAAACTGAGGAACATGGGGCTTTCTTCAGGCCCAGGGAGGTTCTGTGAGGGGGAGGAGGAGCCCCGTGCCCACTGAGGGGAGGCCTGGGCACCAGTGGGCAAGGCCACAGCACTGCTGGGCAGGGTGCTCTCTTTGCCACTCCCTGGACCATTAGGTCATCGTCTGGCCCACTGGGAAGTAGAAGCCTTAGCCCTCTTCCACTAAACCTGCTTTGGGGTTCCCAGACACCCCAGTCCCCAGCCTCGGGGACTGTCCCCATGCTGAGACCACCCTGCAAAGAGTCAGAGAGGCTAAGGCTACACCGATGGCCTCTTGCCTGGGCCCTTGCAGCTGCCCTGGGGGCTGCAGGCCTCCCCCCTGCTCTGCGCTGGAGCTGTCTCACACTGTGGTGTGGATTAGCCTTGCCCAGATATGTGAGTTTGCATTTTTCCAAGATGAACCCCATCTAGCTATTTCCTGTTTCCATTTCCAGCTCAGAGAGGTCGTTGGGGGTGATCTTTCAGTCCTCGTGACCTGCACAAAACTTCCCTATGGACCACCTTCTCAAAAGTTCCCTTCGGTGCTATTTGTACCTGCCCTTGGTCTCTGGGGCCAGGACTCTGCCCTGGCTCTGGGGTCCACCCCTGCTCTGGGTTCCTGTCTTTTCCGGTTGCTTGCCAGCAACATTCCGGAGGGCACGTGGTCAGGCTGCTGATGCTGCTGGCCCTGGGCCTCCCTGAGCTTTCCCTCCAGGCCACTGTGGGTGTGGGGTACCTGCTGCGTCAGTCAGCTCAGGCCGTCACAAAATACCACACCAGAAGCTTGAGTGACAGACACTTCTCACAGTCTGGATGCCGGAAGGCCAGCGTCAAGGTGCAGGCAGGTAGACTTTGTTCCGAGGCCTCCTCTCCTAGCTCCCAGAGCCTGTTGGTGATCTGTGGAGAGAGACAGTGAGAGAGAAATCTCTGCCTCACCACCTGCCACTAATCCCATTGAATCAGGACCCTATGCTTACGACCCCATTTAACCGTATTACTTCCTAAAAGCCCTATCTCCAAATACAGTCACATTGGGGGTTAGGGTTGCAACATATGAATTTGAGGGATGGCGGGAGACACAATTCAGCCCGTAGCACCTGGCATTTTCAGGTCCCCAGCAAACCGAGTGGCTTAACACAACAGGAATTTATTCTCTCCCAGTTCTGGAGGCCAGAGTTCTAAGATCAAGGGGTGAGCAAGGCCATGCTTCCTCTGGAGGCTCCAGGGAGGGCACTTCCTGCTTTTTCCAGCTTCCAGGGGGGCTCCTGGCAGGCCCAGGATGGTGGCTGCCTCGCCCTGTCCCTTCCTCTTTTCTTTTTTTTTAAAGATTTTTATTTATTTATTTAACAGAGATAGAGAGCACAAGTAGGCAGAGCGGCAGACAGAGGGAGAGGGAGAAGCAGGCTCTCCGCCGAGCAGGGAGCCCAATGTGGGGCTCGATCCCAGGACCCCGGGATCATGACCTGAGCCGAAGGCAGCCGCTTAACTGACTGAGCCACTCAGGCGCCCCATCCCTTCCTCTTTTCTTACGAAGGCCCCAGTCATTGGGTTTAAGGGCCACCCTAATCCAGGATGACCTCATCTTGAAATTTCTGATCTTTTTTTTTTAAAGATTTTTTATTTGTTTATCTGAGAGAGAGAAGGAGAGAATGAGTGAGAGACCACGAGCAGGGGGAGCAGCAGAGGCAGAGGGAGAAGCAGACTCTGCACAGGGCAGGGAGCCCGATGCGGGACTCGATCCCAGGACCCTGGGATCATGACCTGGGCCGAAGGCAGACGCTTCACCCACTGGGCCACCCAGGCGCCCCTTGAAATTTCCTATCTTGATGACATCTGCAAAGACCCTTATTCCAAATAAGGTCACATTCTGAGGTTCCAGGTGGACATGAATTGGGGGCACCGCCGTTCACCCTGCCACCCTAGTGTGCAGCTCTGGACTCTGCTGATGAGCTCTGTGGCCAGCCTTCCCTGATCTGCAAAGATCTATCAGAGCCACAGGATTTAGTTTCTGACAAGAATAGTTGTGCTGGTGTTAGGGGCTGCAGCTTGCCAAGGGCCTGGAAGGTGATATAACACGGACTTGCTCTACTATTGGGAAACCATACTGCCTTTTGAGGAGGAGGTGGGCTGCTGATTGGATGGTGCCTTGGCCCGTTTGGGCAGCTACAGTAAATACAGGCGCCGGTGGCTAAACCACAGAGATTTACTTCTCACAGTTCAGGAGGCTGGAACTGCAGATTCCGTGTTGGGGAGAGTTGCACATGGCTCGCCGTGTCCCCATGGGGTGCAAGGGTGAGATATGGCACCTCTTTCACAAGGGCCCTGCTCCCCTCCGGGAGGGCCCCACCCTCATGACCCAATTATATCTCAAAGCCCACTTCCTAAATCCAGCACCCTGGGTGTTTATACAAACAGGTTCTGTATAAGAAAGAGGCCCCAGTGGGTGTGTGTGTGTGTGTGTGCGCGCGCGCATGTGAGGATCTGGAGTGGGGAGTCAGGGCCAGAGGGTGAAGGACAGCCCCTGACTCCCGTCGCCACGGGAGCTTGGCCTGAGAGCGATGGAGTAGAGGCATGTCATTCACCTGAGTTCTTTGGGTTCATTTGGCCAACCCCTGTGTGGTTGCCAGTAGTGGGGACCTAAGGGGTCCCAAGGCCTATGAGAAGAGGGATGTTCGCTGACCCAAACTCCATCCCAAATTGGCAAAATTGTCTACTCTTCCCACCACAATTTATCCCATTTGTATCACGACAGAATATAACCCCACTACGTTCTTGAATGAACGTGACTGCACATCAGTACCGGGGTTGGAAGCTCCGGCAGGGGGCGCTCGCAGCCCTCCCACGAGGTCCATCGCTGACCGGACAGGAAGAGCCTGCCCTGCCCTCACCTGGACAGGACCTTGCCTGAGGCTGTGGCCCCCGCAGGAGGGACAGACGCTTCCCTTGTCTGGGGCCACAGCTCCGCTACCGCCAAGAAGCCGCCACCCCCCCCTCCCAGCTTCCTTTATTTAGGTATTTTCCCATTTACTACTGTTATCCTTGAAATAAAACAGATATGACGGGGAATTCCAGTTCATTGGCTTCAGGGACAGCCCTGGGCTGGTAAGTTTGGCCGAATGGCCAAGGTGGCCCTGGACTGTGGCCCACAGGGTGGAGGGTCTTGAGAAGTCAGACAGGGAGGCAGCAGGTTGCCCCAGGGTGC